CTTCAAAATGGTGGCGTAGGTACTTTATTTAAAGCTTGTTGAACGAGCTTTAGTGAAAGCGCCCCCACCACCATTTTGAAGCATGGGCACGCTGATACATGAGAGATGGAGGCTGGCTGGAGCACGGTAATTACCATGTTCCAGCAGGCTCAGTTCATTGAGTCTGCTCCAATGCTCTGTAGTCACAATGTGTTGGATCAGTCTCCCTGCTCGTGTACAGGCTGTTCCCATCTTGTAGCAGTTTATACCCATTTTACACTTAACATGGTTGTTTAATAAAGCAAATGGCCATATACATTGACTCCATCTGCCCATGTCCCAGGCACCCCACTGTGTTCCACTTCCAAAATATCTTGCCTTCTGCTGAATCAGGTTCCTTGGAAAATCAGGGAGGATGCATAAAGGGAAACTGTCTCTTTGCAAGGGGAAGGGACCTTAGATGCAAGGAGAAGGGGCTGTCCCTTAGATTTTGTTTGTGTGAATTTGAAGCAGCTGCTATGTCTATTTGACTGGACACATGGGAAAACAAGGATGGGAAGATAGAGCTGCAAGGCGTGGCCCTGGTTTGGTGCAGTATTTCTAGCTAGGCTTAGCCAGTAGTAGACTTGACTGTGGATCCATGTTTGCTTTCAGAGTCTGTTCGACAATAAGTTTGATGACATCTTTGGCAGTTCGTTTGGTAATGATCCTTTCAACTTCAACAGTCAGAATGGGATGAGCAAGGATGACAAGTGAGTACTGGCTAAGGGGCCCTGTAACGCGTATGTCTCCTCGCTGTCATGCTCACCAGTCGCATTCAATTTTGGACATAGGAGCTATGCATGCAAAGCATGCACTGTGGAAGGCCTGGCCCTACCTTAAAAGGGGCATCTTTGACAGTACCTTGGGATTGATTGCCTGCTGAGAATTCCCCTGCTCCAGGATTCATCCATAAAGAGTTTTGAGTGATGGACCAGAGTCTCTGGGATACCAGGAGGACATAACTAATACCAGATAGAATGAATCTCACAGTCAGCAGCATCTCCTTCCTGTTCTAGGCAAAAAAATAAAGCACTCAGTCCCAAACCACATACCCACTGGCAATCAGCAGAGTGGGACTTTGCTGGGTCCCCTAGATATGAGATTGAGGTCCATATAACTGAAATTCCTATCCTAACAATAGCCAGCTCCAGCTGCTGCAGAGGAAAAAAAATAATATAGGAGGCCATAGTGATTTAATTTGTGCCAGGGAAAATTCCTTTTTAACACTTGGTATTTAGAGCTGCTTATGCCCTGGAGCTGAAAGGTTTAGATTCCATACAGAGATCTTGGTTGTGCATTTATCTTTACTATTGTAGTTGTAAACAGTCTTATTATTCCTATATAGGCCTAGTTATTTTGTGCTGCTAAGAGCTTGATCTCATCTCTATTCTAAGACAGCAAATTCCATAAGCTAATTGAGTGTTCTATGAAAACATGTCTCCTTTGGCATTTGGCACCTTGCTCTCCTTTGAATGGTTGTTTGCACTTGTGTGATGAGACAGGGAATAAAAAAAGCTCTTGGTCTCCATTCTCTAAACCATCCATAAGTTTGTATATCCTTGTTTTAGACCCTCTTAGTTGTCCCCCTTACAGAGTAAAGAATCCATGTCTTTCCATATGAGAGTTTTCACAGGTTCCCCATCATTCTTGTCAGTGGTCTCTGGACCACCTTGTGTTCTGTAGTATACTTTTTGAGATGTACATGATTTTTCGCATGACTGCAAACCTGAGTCCAGGATAGACATCTCATTGGTTGATATACTGCAGTGAGGATGTTTTCCAGGTTCTTCCCGTCACATCCCCACACCTCCATAACATTTTTTGCTTTATGGTGTGGGGGCACAGTACTGAGGATGCAAACACTGTTTTTCTCCTTCCCAGGGACCGGTTAATTGAGCAGCTTTATCGGGAGATCAGTGGCCTCAAGGAGGAGCTGGAAAACTTTAAAGCAGAGGTGAATGTGTAGCTCATCTTACTCACATTAATGTGATGTGTGTGCAGTGCACCTTGAGTGCTATCAGTGGCCAGATAGAGGTGCTTTATACAAGCTTGTATTTGTAATTACTGTTTGTCAAGGTCCCTTGGGCCTGTAGTTTGGCTAGGAAATATCCAGAGATCTACTGGGGTTAGTGTTGTTGCTTCCACTGATAGCACTTCCTCCAGAGCTGACACTGAAGCAACCTGTGTGAGCTCCAAGATAGCCATCTGTCAAAGGCCTTTACCACCTGTAGTCATTAAAGTCTCTGCAATACCTATAGGAGGAACAGTGCTGATTCTGTCTTTTGTCTTTGTCAGAGAAGGGGAGGTGATCCCTATATGTAAAGCATAGTCTATAAACTCAGCATGAGCAGTTTGGAACCTTTGGGTGGTTAGCACAATGTAAATGTCACTGGATCTTATTCTGCAGGCAGATGTCTCTGGGAGTAGCATTCACCCAGGATACTCACCAACCCCAGGATGAGGCCAGGGCTGACACTATCCTGACTGTAGAGACCACTCCTATGCCCTTTGGCTGCCCATGGGCTGTATCTGCCCTGCTGCTGTAGGGAAGAGTCAGTTTGCTCATTGCCTCCTACTCACTTTTCTGCATCAGTTGCTTGAGAACAGCCAATCAGACACTAGTTTTTGGTTTCAAAGTGTATACAGATTCACTGCTCCTGATTGACTACTACTTCCATTAACATGCTTGTTAGCCACTGTGGACCAGCCTTGAGCTTAATTGGTTGCAGTACTGTAATGGCTCTACCAAGAAGCCCAAAGAGAGTGCTGCAAGCTCCTTCAGAGGACTATTGGCCCTTAGAGCTCTGTGGGGTAGGAGTTGTTCTGCCCACCCCAACCCAGTGCTTCCCTTCCCTTGGTGACCTATAGAGCCATCGCCTGGTGATGCAACTGCGGGGGCGGATCAGTGAGCTGGAGGCAGAGCTGGCAGAGCAGCAGCACCTCAAGCGACAGGCTTTGGATGAAAGTGACTTCCTTCACACCGAGCTGGATGAGCTGAAAAAGCAGCGGGAGGACACAGAGAAAGCGCAGAAGAGCCTGACTGAGATTGAGAGTAAGGACAAACTACAACCTTGCTCAAGAGTTGCCTGAGTCCCCAGTGCAGCCCTAGCCTCTCCCAGGAAGAATCGGGTCACAAGTATTGGCAGTGTGGGCAGCTCCCAGGTACTCCAGTTCCAGCCTTTCCCAACATAGTTGTTGACTAGAGAAGTGTGTCCAAAAGTGATTGGCTACAAGGGTGGCTTGCAGCTCTTCCACTTCCACCTCTTCTTCTAGGTGGTGCTATGGAGAAATGTGTAGGGCATTGACTCCAGGAGGGGCTCCCAGCTATGCCAGTCCCAACTCCTCTCACCAGGAGATACTATTGAATGTGGCCCAGGATTGTATAGCTGCTCTCAGGCCCATATGTTTCATCTGGACTCACTGTAGGCATTTATTTCTCCCGGTGGGATGGGATTTTCCATTGGGCATGTAACTGCCATATATGTTATAGCTCACTATTGTATGGCAGGGAAGGCACAGGCTAACGAGCAGCGGTACACCAAGCTGAAGGAGAAGTACAGCGAGTTGGTGCAGAACCATGCCGACCTGCTACGCAAGGTAGGGCCCAGCTCTCTGTTTCTGTCCCCCCTAGCCCATCCTCCTGTTGGCTGTGTGCCAGTTACTATGCCCAGGAGAAGCAGGAAACTCTAACTAAGAGAGCTGTTAGCCATCTCTGCAAGAGAGAGATGGTGTTCCTGCTCTCAGAAGGCCACTTGTGGGGGAAATCCCCTGTAGAGCTGCCCCCTCTTTACACCATGCCTGGCTTCTTTGGCTGGGTGCAGGTAGCCAGATTTTGCTTGAGAGATTTTAAGATTTTGCTCTGCCCAGTGAAAATACCCAGCAGCTGACTCAGCTCTTGAGTTCTTGATACTGTTCTCCAGAATGCAGAGGTCACCAGACAGGTAACAGTAGCAAGACAAGCCCAAGGCGACATGGAGCAGGAAAAGAAAGAATTAGAGGACTCCTTCCAGCGCATGAGCGAGCAGACGCAGAGGAAGGTGAGTTGGTGTGTGCAGACTGGAGCAAAGAATTTCTGCGGGTGAGAGGGGGGTCAAGATCTAGTGTAAAGGAGAAGCCAGGAATGGGTAGAGGAGAGGAGAAGGCTGCTGTAGAGTGAGGGAATTACAGGGGGATGAGGAAGGAGGTGTCTTAAAATACTTGAATTTAATCTGAGGCCTGTAGCTTCTGTTATTATCCTTCGTTATCATCCTTTTCCTAGGCTTACCAGAGCATATATTAACAATTTTGCTGCCATTTTAGTGGCTCTTGTGTCTCCCCTAATCTTTATCTGTGACATTTGGTAGGATTGTTTTTTGTGGGTCGTTGCTTGGGTGCTTCATGACTGTGGTGTGTGAGAGGGGACGGAGTGGATGATCTTATGGATCCTTTCAACAAAGGGTTGCTTGCAAACACAGGGGACTGGGCTCGGTGGCCTGGGAGGCCCCTTCAAACCTATGCCCCCATGTTCTGTACATGTTTAGTGGTTACTTCTGCTCTTTCAACAGTCTCAGGAACAAACAGAAGTCTTGGAAACCTTGAAGAGAGAGCTTGCAGCCAGCAAGCAGGAGCTGCAGAGCCTCCAAAGCACATTGGAATCCAGTACACGGGTGAGCTCCTTTCCCTCAGTAAGATTCATGTGAGTTGTCATACTCATTGTTTTCCTACCACTTCCTCCTGAGCTTTACATCCTGGTCTCCCCATCCATCTCTGCCTCGGGTTGGTTGTGATGTTCTAGCTCAGCGTAATGTTCTGGAATCGGCAGACCCATTTTTGATATTGTTGGCATAAGCTACAGGGACTGAATGTTACGTTCATCAGAGAACAGTATTCAGCCCTCATTGGCAAGAAGGCACTGCTAGACGGATAGCTCCCTGATAGCTCTGAGGACTGATGCTATAGAGTGCCCCAAGGTGAGGAAAAAAGCTGCAAATCTCAGCCATCCACAAGAGAGGAATATTCATCTCCAGCCACTGCAGCCTTTAAGGTGTTACACCCTAAAACTGTGCCATCCTGGTTACCATCTTGCCACCTTTCTACATTTCAATTTCAACCTGGTTTCAATATCTGATTTCTCAGGAATCCAGTGTTCACTGCCACCTGGAAGCAATCTTTAAAAGCTCTGGCTTCTGGAAAATGATCACCTGTCAGTCTGGAACTGTAATGTTTTGTGAGGAGAAACAAGATGGGAATCTGAATGACATTGTCCCAATAGCCTACCAGTGCTCACAACATTTCCTTAGGATCATGGCAGTGATGTCTAGGAGTGTTTAGAGTTTATAAGTGAGAATTCTAACCCAGTGCCTAGAAGAAAAATGTAAAGATCCTTCACATAAACTGAAGCAAGTGTTATGTTTTGGGTTTTTTTTTAACTGTGACTCTTGAATGACAAGTTAAAAAATTACAGATGACATCAAGCTGAGGAGAGTAGTAGATATGCTAGAGGGTAGGCCTAAGATTCGGAGAGACTTTAGCAAATTGGAGGAGTGAACCAAAAGAAATTAGATGAAGTTCATTAAGGACAAGTGCAAAGTCCTGCACTTAGGATGGAACAGTCCCACGTACAAGCACAGACTGGGGACTGACTGGCTAAGCAGCAGTTCTGCAGAAAAGGACCTGGGGGTTATAGTGGACAATAAGCTGAATATGAGCCAACTGTGTGCCTATGCTTCAAAGAAGGCTAACGGCATACTGGGCTGCATTGGTAGGAGTGTTGCCAGCAGGTGGAGGGAAATGATTCTTCAGCTATGTTCAGCACTGGTGAGGCTACATCTGGAGTACTGTGTTGGGTTTTGGGCCCCCCACTACAGAAAGGATGTAGACAAATTGGAGAGAGTCCAGCGGAGGGCAATGAAAATAGTTAGAGGGCTGGGGCACATAACTTCTAAGGAGAGGCTGAGGGAACTGTGCATATTTAATCTGGAGACAAGAAGACCTCGTCCTGCTTTGAGTGGTGGGGTGGACTAGATGACCTCCTGAGGTCCCTTTCAACCCTAATTTTCTATTATTCTAAGACTTAGTGGAGATTTAATAGCAGCCTTCAACTATCTGAATCGTGGTTACAAAGTAGATGGGGTTAGACCAGGGGTGGGCAATTATTTTGGGCAGAGGGCCGCTTACTGAGTTTTGGCAAGCCATTGGGGGCCACATGACAGGCAGCCAAGGGCAGATAAATATTAATTTTCTAAATTTTTTTAAGGGCCTCACAGGCCAGTTAGAATGGCCTGACGGGCTGCATCCGGCCTGTGGGCCACGTTTTGCCCACCCCTGAGTTAGACTGTTCTCAGTGGTGACATGTGACAGAACAAGGAACAATGGTCTCAAGTTGCAGCAAGGGAAGTTTAGGTTAGATATTAGGAAAAATTTTCACCTGGAGGGTAGTAAAGCATTGGAACAAGTTACCCAGAGAGGTTATGGAGTCTTTATCCTTGAAGATTTTTAAGACCCAGCTAGACAAAACCCTTGCCTGGGATGATCTAGTTGGCAATGGTCCTGCTTTGAGCAGTGGGTTGACCTCGGTGACCTCCTGAGGTCCCTTCAAACCTTAATTTTCTATGAAAATAAGGAATTGCAAATAGAAAGGTCCTGCCCACTTCTGAGTACATTTAGGTCAATTTGAGTAGTCTGTGATCCCAGTAGGAAATATAGTAAGCAGTAACACTCTCAACCCCTGAAACAGATAGAAGAGGGATTTAAATTGCATTCTTGACTGACTTACATTGTAGGGATGAAATCTCTTCTTCTCTTTTCCAAGCTGTCATACAGGCCAGGTTGCTGCAGGGAGTTGAAAGAGCTGCACTGCATTGTACAGTTCAGAGCCAAGATCCATTTGGTTATGAAAATCCCTTTGGCATATTTGGTCAGGAAAGCAGGGTAAATACTGTGGGACTCATATTCCAGTTCTGCAAATTTCCCTGCCCATTTGCTTGTTCAATGTCTTAAATTTTCCATGGGTGTGTTATCTCCTGTGTCCCACCCCAATAGGGGCCCTTTCAGAAGTGACAAGTGATGTGATGCATGTGTGTCATTGCAGAAGGTTCAGTATAAAATTGTGTCCTAAACTATAGTTTCTAGTTCATCCTGAGCCACTGAGCTCAATGCCAAACTCAGTGAAGTTCTCTGGCCTATGCTGGGCAAGAAATTGGACTGGTTCTTCTGGTCTTAAAATCTCTGAAATCCTTTACGAAGGGAAAATAACTACAGTCTGCTTTCTGGTATAGTTCAAAGCCTTATAGAGTGCCAAAAGCAGCTAATTGCTGTGGTTCAGGAGGCAACACAGCAAAAAACTAAAGAAAAACTCCCCATCCAGCTTTAGTGCATCATAGAGAAACCTGTTTCATCAGTCCAGATATGTAGGGCACTTTGTATAAGGCTGAGGCATTTGTTTGCTAAAAGCACAGTAAGGCTCTTGTATCACAGGTAGTTGGAGGCCCATTAAATATGTATCTATTTTGGCATAACCACCAGCCTGAGGGGTATTAATTGGTCCTCTTATCACAGTCTTTGCAAAGGAGGGCATGAATTAAATGGCAATGGACATTGAACTATTCTGTCCAAGAAATGATTCGTCTAGGGGACAGGTAGATTGGCAACACACAGTGCAACGGAAGCATGCCTGGCTGTTGCCCATGCTCACTATACCTGTGGCTAAACAAAGCACTGAAGTCTCCAGACTGACAAGCCAACACCTTTCATCAATACTGAATCCATTTAAAATCACAGTTGCAAAAAGCATTGACAAATACAACTAAACTGCATCCCTGGGGAGCCTCATCTGGCCTATGTGTGATGCCATAAGCTTGGAGTCCAGCCCCGGCATTGCCGGCTACAAGTTTGCTACTTGGGGATTGTTTACTGGTAAGTCTGACTATGAACAACCTTTCAACAGCATATATAGCATCCCTCTGAGCTGGGAGCTGACAGTGATGATGGTGCCACAGAAAGTGGGGACCTGGGTTTGTAAGTGATCCCCAAGGAGTGATCCCCAAGTGAGGAATTGTGTCTCACCCTCCTCTTGTCTCTCTTTTTTCCACCTTCCATCTAATAGAGCATGATGCTAAGAATTTCCATCTGTTATCTTTGCCCCTTGCAGTTGAGAGGAGAGCAGAGCACCAGGATAGCAAGCTTAGAGCAGGAGAAGGACAGCTGGACTCAAGCAATGGCACAGAATAACCAGGAGGTGACAAATTTGCAAGCAGAACTGCAACACCTAAAGAGCATGCTAGACAGCGAGCAGGAGAGCAGCAGTAAGATGCTGGAGGCACTACAGGCCCAGCTGGGAAAGAAGGTACTTCCCCATCTTTACCCTCCACCCCATTTTGAGGGTGTCTAAGGAGACACTGACATTGGCACTTAAGCGCTCTATCCAGATGCTGTAGGACACCCTCCCCACACCCCTGCTTTGCTGACAGTTTCCCAGGGGTGGCATAGGAATGTTGCATGCAGATGTGGTCTGCAGCATGCAGTGCTGTTTGGATCCTGTTTGACTTCTGCATGCTTGCCTACTCAAGTCAAGACAGAGCATTGCACACTAGGAATTGAAAGCCTTATATCAGTGATTCTCAACCAGAGTGCTATAGCACCCTGGGGTGACTTGAGATTCTTTCAAGGGTACCACAGGGTGCCAGACAATGTTGATGTTGTTAGGTTAGCAAAAACATATTTCATAAGATAAGCAATAGAAAAACTGCTCTATTATTTTCTGTAGTCAAAAGTGAAAACAAAGATCTGGTATTTTCTGGAGTGGTGGGGAAAGAGAGGGGGTACTTCAAGTCTTTCTAGGAGTGCCTCAAATCCTAAAAAGGCTGAGAACCACTGCCTTAGATACTGATCCTCTTCTGTAATAAAGATTTTGGATTATCTCTCATGTACTCTCCAAGCCTGTCTCCTGCTCAAGAAGACTAGGAACAGAGCATATGACCTTTCCTCTATCTATAGCTTGGCTCTAGTGTGTCAGAGGTCTTGTCAGGTCTTGTCATGTCTGCTTTTTCAGAGCAGCTTAGGTGGCAGAAATTACCTTGGCTGGGGCTAAGAAAGGCCCTGACCTTTTTCTCTGTGTATCCAACAGGAGAGCTGTGAGCAGGCCCTCCAACAGCAGCTTCTGGACCAGCAGTTTTTCCTACTGCAATGCACTGTGCAGGAGGCAGAGCAGATGGTGCAGGACTCCCTGAACCAACTCAATGACCCTGCCCACATCAGCTGCATGAGCTCCACAGGTAACAGCTGTCTGTCTTGCATCTGGGTTTGGGTTTGTTCCTTACTGAGGAAAAGACCTATGACCTTTTCCTCTGGATGTATCCAGCTATACTTACCTCCTAAGGCTGAAAGTCAGGGGCTGCTTACACACCAGGTGTCAAGGCACCTCTGTCCAGGGGGATAGGAACTTTTGATTTGGCACAGGGTTTGGGGGCACTAAGGACTGATTACAGATTGGAGCCAGGTGCTATGTTGGGGCTGGAGGAGCTATCGCTCTATTGTAGCCTTTTGCTAGCTGCATCACTCTCCTAGAGCTGTTGATGGTACACTTTTTCCAGGGGGTTGGCCTGACCCAGTGATGGTATGTACCAGCAACGCAGCTTCAGTAGACATAAACCCCATTCACATGAAGTGCATTTACCTGGTGTTTCATGATTGGGTTTCACTGGAGAAGCTGCCATGTAAAGGGCACTCACACATGCAGGAGCATGACTCACTTTATATGCAGCTCATTTACTCTTGTAGCCTATGCCCAGGAATCTTTTGCTGGCCTACCCTAAAATCCTCAGCCTGGAAGGAGGCAGGGGCATATCTCTGATCACAGAAAACATGGGTTAAGGGTGCACAGGGAAGGCATTGCCAGTGATTGGGTGCTCCCTAGTGTTCTTTGTTCTCTCTCTGCCACCAGACTGCAGGCAGGGGTGGGGTGACCTTCCTTTCTTGTATGAAGGCACTGACCCCCAATTCTGGATTTGCCAGAGGTGACTTACCCCAAGGACTCATAGTAGCGCACCTGAAGGGTCAACACTGCCATTGGAAAGAACCCAGGAGCATCAAAGTCCAGTAATTCCCCAATATCTTCAAACTATGAGGCCTTTTTCCCCATAGATTCTAGGGTCGGAAGGGACCTCAATAGATCATCGAGTCCGACCCCCTGCATAGGCAGGAAAGAGGGCTGGGTCTAGATGACCCCAGCTAGATGTCTATCTAACCTCCTCTTGAAGACCCCCAGGGTAGGGGAGAGCACCACCTCCCTTGGGAGCCCGTTCCAGACCCTGGCCACTCGAACTGTGAAGAAGTTCTTCCTAATGTCCAGTCTAAATCTGCTCTCTGCTAGCTTGTGGCCATTATTTCCTGTAACCCCCGGGGGCGCCTTGGTGAATAAAACCTCACCAATTCCCTTCTGTGCTCCCGTGTTTAACTTATAGGCAGCCACAAGGTCGCCATAGGCAGCCACAAGGCAGCCAAGCCTCCTCACTCTGAAGGACCTTCAGTTGCAGGAGCAAAATGCAGTGAGCTGGAGTCATACTTGTCCTGCATGCTGCCTGTCCCTCTACCTGGCAGGAAGAGAGTGATGTTTAATTGGGAAACCAAAAGACTTGAGTCCCTTGTCACTGCCCCCTTCCTCTGCATCAGTCCCTACCCACTCAGGAATGGGACACTATTACAGGCTGAGACAGAGGATCTCTGTGGGACCCATGTCAAAGTCCTGGCACATTTCAGTGGGTTGGGAACAAGTCTTCATGCAGGTGTGCACTCTGCCCACAGCTTCTCAGGCTAAAAAGTCCTTTCACAGTTTTCTTAAGGTCTCTTTTGTGTGCACAGATTATCTCCTGTCCCGAACACTGGCTGCATCTGACTGTATAGAGCGGCTTCAGGACGCACATGGCAAATACCTATCCAACTGCACAGGTGAGAGCTGAGTAGGCAGCAAGGCAGTGCCTGTGGAGGGGGAGAGCTCTGTGCACCATCCTTGGCATACTGCTGGAAATGGACCAGCAAAGGATAGGCCAAACTTTGGAAGGCCAGGCTGAGGGTCACAATGCACAGGGATGGCTTGTGCAGGATCCAGCATCCCTCCCGAATGCTCCCACCCAGTCTACTGAGCCAAGCCTCAGACCCCTAGCCATAGGGTCAGCTGTGAAGAAGGTTGGGACAGGAGGGCCTGCTCTCAAATGAGTATCTGTGGAGCAGGCCAGTGCTGTGACCCTTCCTTCCTGAATAGCATTAAAGCAGGGGTGGACAAAATCCAGCTTGTGGTGGATTCCATTTCCCAGCAGTCCCTGCAGCAGTGGCTCCTTCTGGCTGCCACTGCTCGCCCCAGTCCCAATGCCCAGGCACCCTAGTCTATCTGCCCTGTACCCGTGCAGGCAGGGTGCATGGCTGGTGGCTGGGATGGGGCCGCACCTGGGAGCGAGATGGGCAGGTGGGGCCGGGGAGACTCTGGGATCTTGGGGCGGTGGCAGTGTGGGGCTGGGACTAGGACAGAGCCGTGATCCACTACTCACATGCCCCTGCAACATACACAGGTTCTGTGAACAGGCATGCAGGGAGCAAATCATGGCTTGGCCCCCCAGCCCCATGCTGTCACCTCCCTAAGATCCTGGCCCTGGAGCAGCTCCCTGCTCAGCTGTGCACCCTGCCTGTGTGGCTCCCAGCCAGTCTCCATGGAGACCCCAGGATCCTGGAGCTGTGACGCTGCAGGGGCAGGGCAGAGCCCTAGTTCTGTGTCCCTGCACGGTCATAGCCTTGCACTGTCATTGCCCTGTGATCCTAAAGTTTCCATGGAGACTAGCCAGAAATCATGTGGGCAGGGACTGCTGGGAAATGGAATCTGACCACAGGCTAGATACTCCATTTTGCCCACCCCTGCACTAAAGCAGCAACAGGTAAAAGCAAGCAGCTTTTGGCTCTGCCTCCTGTGACTCTCTAGAGTGTCTCTGTTAGAGACATTCCCAGAGCAATTCCAGTAGAGGTGAAGGGAGACTTGCAGTGTGGAGGCTGGGCTGTTGCTCCTGGAGCCCAAATACTGCCTGGCTGCATGTATCTTGTGTGACTGGCACCAACATAACCCTGAGGCCAGTGCCTGACACACAGGATACACACCCATTGCTGACATTACCCCAGAAGGGGGACACTACGTTGTAGCTGCGTGAGCTTTGAGGGCTGTATTTACACCCAGCTGTGATGCCTTGTGGTGTTAGGAAGGTTTCTTCCTCAGTTCTTCAGGGCCATGTCTCACCTAGTCCTGGGACTCTTGCTTCCCTTTGGTACTTAATTGGCAGGGAAGGCACTGGTGAAACCTCTGCGTTGATTATAATTGTTGAGCTGAGCTTGTGTCCCTCACTTCCATCTCTCCTGCCTTCAGATGTGAGCAGCCTGCTGCCGTGTGTGGCCATGTTTGCCCACCTGATCAGTGACACCATCTTGCAGGGCAGTGCCACTGCTCACATGGCTCCTTTGGAGCCTGCTGACTGTAAGTATCCTTGGCAGGGGGAGGGAGTTGTGACTGTTCCCACTGGCCACTGGCCACTTCAGCTACCACATGCCTTTCTTGACTGCTTTCAGTTCTGTTGGAGGCCTGCAAACAATGTGGGAATGAGGCTCTGCATTACCTCAGTGCCCTGAAAGACAAAGCATCCCTGGAAAATGCTGACTGCACACCTGTGAGAAACTGCCTGAGCAGAATCAGTGCCATTGGGGAGGTAAGAAGCCGAGATACTTCCCTGATCATCATTCATAAATCTGTCTCTGTATTGAAGGGCCTCTGTTACATGAGACAGGTGCAGCCTGGGACCAGGGCAGAGGTGACTGGCTGCTCCAGGGAGAAGAGCACACATGCAAATAAAAGATTGGAATGATCCCTTTTCTGTGGTGTGGCCTGGGAAGGACTGCTTTTGGCAGCTTTACCTACTACTGGCGATACAGTGGGGTCTGGTTAGAGCAGTGGACTGGGAATCAAGATTTACAGATTCTGTCTCTGACAGAGCCACTGGCTCTCTCAGTGATCTAATGCAAATGTCTGTCCCTCTCTGTGCCTTGTGCAACATGGGCCTGCTGACCTTGGCTCATGTGCTGAGTGTTGGGAGGCTGTGGCAGCATCTGTGAAATGTGCCTCGTTCCTGAACTGGTAGGTTGCTCAGGTTGTCCACTGTTCCCTTGTCTTCTCACCCCAGGAGCTGCAACCCAAAGGCCTGGATGTAGAGCAGGAGGAGCTGGGGGACTTGGTGGACAAGGAGATGGCATCTACTTCAGCATCCATAGAAATAGCCACTGCCAGAATAGAGGTGAGGGGGACAGAAGGGCCTTGGCCCTTGCACAACTCCACTCCCTGCAAACCCCACCTTGAGTGCTGACAGCAGAACCCTGGTGCCAAAGCTACGGCAAAAACCTTCCGGTGCCCCAGACTTCACATGGCAGGCTCTCCCCAGACAGCAGCTCTAGCAGCCAAGCAGCATTCATGCTGGCTCCGTTCTTTCCCTGCATTCTCATGCACTGTCAGAGCCATGTTCCCACAGAACTGATTGGCCATTCTCAAAGTGAACAGGGGCTGTATGAGGTGGCAGTCTGGGCTAAGCCCACCACTCACGGTGACATGGCAGAAGAATCATCTGCTTTGCCCCCTCTCCAGCCCCTCTCTCCTTCCCACACACACATCCCAGAGCATGTGTAAAGGCACCCCATGCAATCAGAAGGTGGGATGAGGGCCACAGCTTCTGTCATCAGGGGTCATGCTTGGAGTTGATGATATGAAAGGCTTTCCTGGATCCTGCATAGCCAGACTGGGGGACTCTGGGATACACTTAACCTGATTACAGTGCTACAGTATGGCTCTCTCCCTCTGTAAACAGGATATGCTCAGCAAGTCGCGGGCTGGAGACACTGGGGTCAAACTGGAGGTCAATGAGAGGTTGGTATAAAGGAAAGATCTGTCCCTTCCTTCTGTCTGCATTCAGAGTATCTACAGGCTGGGATACTCCACAGTTCAAATGCTGACGGCCACACACTTGCAAAGAGACAGCAAGTGATTGTTTCTCCCTCTGTTCCCATTTCTTCCTGTCCTAAGTTATCTTTCACAGTGGCAGGCAGGGGTCCTGTCTGGACAGTACAGTACCAGGGTCAAGGATTCACACTGGGTAACTTAAATTTAAGGAAAAAACGCAAATTAAGGTGCCGGACACAAGGAGGAGGAGGACCAAGCTGGTGGGTGAGGAGGTTGCAAATCTGGGGCCACATGCTATTAGATAGAGAGAAACCATTAGGGATACAGAGACCTGTCAATGGGCAGTGAAAGTAGAGGATGTGCCTCAAGCAGCGTATCGGAGGTGGGGATTCTGCTCCACCTTCAGACTCACCATCTGCCAGCTCTGTCATACTTCTGCTATCCTTAGAAGCAGCTGATGCCAGAGCCCTGTTCCCCATGAGCCAAGATATGCCATGTGCTATACTAGGTGAGGCACGTGTTTCCTGACAGCTACAGCAGTTTCTGTGGGTAAGATTTCCACATGGGCAGCACTAGGCCAAGGAACTGCTTAAACTCAGAGGTCTTGTGTTGGCCTCCTGGCACAAGGATGAACCTCATTCTCAGTGAAACACATTCCTTTCTCCTCAGAAGGAAAGGGCAAATCTTGTAAAAGATCCATAGCACTTCATGTATCTCCCTTTTCTATCAGTTGGCTGAGTGGAGGAGGGGAAAATGGGTAAGGTGGTGTAGTCAGTGTGAACCATTTGTGTTTTCTGTCAGACTGGTCAGTACTTAGGGAATCTATGTTCTGCAGTGGGTGCACCTAGATCCTGTCTTTCTGGCTATTCTAATTGTTGTAGGAGCGTTGTCTGAAGCCAGCTCAGGTTTATATGTTTATTTGCTTTCTGCCTGCCTACAGTTAACTGCAGATCATGAAAAATCTCTTACAGGATCCTGGGCTCCTGCACAGGCCTGATGCAAGCTATCCAGGTGCTAGTCCTGGCTTCTAAGGACCTCCAAAGAGAGATTGTGGAGAGTGGACGGGTAAGCCAGGCTTTACCTCAGGAGTATGTAAGTAGAGAGCTGCACCTTACAAGCCCTCTATCTACCACAGTGGCTCAGCAGGATGGCTTTTGTCCTCCTCAGGCAGCTCTAGCAGATTAAGGCCTCTGGAGTAACGGAGGCCCCTGATTTAAATTAGAAAAATATATTTGCCCAAAAAAGGTGTATGAGTTTCACAGTCTTAGTTGCTGTTAAAGCATCTGCTAGGGGTGGCAGACAAGAAGCTAATGGTCAATACTGACTTCTGAACCAGGAGGTATTTTCCAAACATGGCCTGCTTTGGGCTTCAGAGAATTTAGTGAGGCCCAGGAGGTAAGTCAAAAGTGTCTGTGCCAGTCAGAGCCTGTCCCTTCTCATGTTGCTGTGTGGGTCCTGGCTGGCCATAGTGTTTGGGATTTGCTGAGCCCTGTGCTCCCAGGAACAGGCAAGTTAGAACACAACCAAACAGAGTAAGAACAAGGAAAAGGGAGCCTTTGCGACTAGAAAAAACACTTGGATGCATCAGTCCCATCTGTGAGGTGCTCTGGCTGGAAACCAGGGTTTTTCCATGCTGGGTAGCATCATCTGAATTGGAGAGAGCTTTACTGTCCCTATGACTGTTCTACATTGGCTGCCAGCAGCATGCTGGATGTTGCCTGTTCTGTCCTATGGAGCTGGCAGCTGCTGTATTGCATTCAACCAAGCTAGAACCCCTCCCCAGATAAACTGTTTTAGAGACGGGGGGCAGAAGCTGTGGAATCGAGTGTGGGGGTGGAAACCTTTAGACGAACACCTAGCTGGGGTCATTTGACCCCAGTACTTTTTCCTGCCATGGCAGGGGTTTGGACTTGAAGATCTGCTCAGGTCCCTTCTGACCCTACCAACTATGAAACTATGAGATTGCAAGGGGGAAGAGTAATGGAGGCCAGGGGAAGGAGAGTATGAGAGCTCAGACATTAATCCAAATGGAACTGGGCCTACGTTGCAAATGTCTTCCACTGGCCTGGAGCAGGATCTATCCATGTCCCTCTCAGGCTTAATGTATGCCTAGCCTGTTAGGTGCTGTTGTTCCTCACTGGATGACTAGAACTCCTCCCAAGAACCATGGGATTTGTTGATACATGGGCTGCTCATTCTTCTTCCTCTTTGATTATGTTATGTACCCTCTTGTCCGCCCCAGGAAATGGCAAAATCCAGGGGTAGAGTTAGTAGGCAGGAGCCACAGTGACTGAGCTGCATTTCACACTCGCTCCCCTTTCTCCAGTGCATGACCCTGGGTCTTTTTCTTTTTCTACATGACAGGGTGCAGCATCCCGCAGAGAGTTCTATGCCAAGAATTCCCGCTGGACAGAGGGTCTCATTTCTGCCTCCAAAGCTGTAGGCTGGGGAGCAACCATCATGGTGTAAGTGTCCATTGACTCCAGGGTAGATGCTAATGGAGGCTTTGCACTGAGTAACAAGAAGTGACAGGGGATGTGGGCAATGAGCTGGACTGGGGCAAGGGAGCTTGAGCACCCCTGGCATCCCTTTGCCCAGGACAAAAGCCCAAGGTAATTTTGTGCAGCGGACACAACGGGGAGTGGGATGGCACGTGTGCATAAGGATTCCATTCCCTTTGCTGCCTTCCACAGTGATGCAGCTGACCTTGTGGTGCAGGGGAAAGGGAAGTTTGAGGAGCTGATGGTGTGTTCTCATGAGATCGCAGCCAGCACTGCGCAGCTGGTGGCTGCCTCCAAGGTAGGAGCCTTGATCCAGCTACTTTTCTTTCTCAGAGCCCAGTTTCATACATATAGGACCAGCCACCTTGTCTGTTAAGGTGGAAGATCTTTGCTGCCTCTCAGTTGTTCAGGAAAGGAGACCAGCAAGATGGCCTTGCCATTTTCTTGAAAGTACCCTTGAAACCATTGTGGTTGCTCACTTCTGGGTCCACACTGTGACCATGATCTGAATGGCATGGCCTCCAGCAAGGATTCATGATCCATGATATTCCATCAACAGGGGCAAGGCAGCTGCTGAGTTAGGGCCCAGATTGCCATGAACATCAGCTACCTCTCTTCTTGGGGCTCAGGTGTGTGTCTCAGGCACAGCACTAAGAAGGATAAAGCAGTGCTCCTCCAGGAGACAGCCTCCCAGATGGGGACTTCCCAGCCAGCAGTTAGTGTAGTAGGGGCAGGACTCTCCCATCACCTCCTTCCCTTGGTACAAGCAGTCACCCCCAGCAATAGCCTCTCCCTCTGAGACAGGGGCCATGGAAAAGCCTTTACATCTTTCTCCCTATACCCAAAGCAGCTGTGGGCTGCCTGTGATCTAGCCCAATGTGCTGAGTACTCTCTGGTATTACAGAAGCTTTTCAGGGCCAGGAGGCAAGCTGAGATGGCCTTCACAGCACAGACAGCTGCTGTTGCCCTTGTTGCTAGCCCCAGACATGGCACGTGGAGTGTGGCTGTTCTGTGATGATGGTCCCTCCAAGAGCCAAACCAGCAGGCAAGTCATTTCCTTTCCTTGCTTGTCCTCCCCATTTGATGAGCTCAAACCTTGTCTTTGATCTGGCAGGTGAAAGCAGATAAGGACAGCACAAACCTGTCCAAGCTTCAGCAGGCTTCACGAGGTGTTAACCAGGCCACAGCCGGGGTGGTAGCTTCCACCAAGTCTGGAAAGTTACAGATTGAGGAGAAAGGTAAGGCAGCAGGCCCTGGTGTCACTGGTTTGTGGGCTGCAGGCCAGGCCAGCAAGATCTTGCTACCCTTTTCCTCCCCATTTCTTGAAGGGCTTATTCTTTCACCCTCAGCTCTTCATATTGTTTCTCCAATCACCATTTCATCATCTCCTTCCATTCATTCATTGCCCAGTTCTCCTACTGATTCATTCATCTATGCCCTCATTAACTGTAGTCCCCTGCACAGATTCCCATTAGTCAGTTGGTTGGCCTGCTCAGGATTCTCATCACTGGGGAGTCTTTGGCTTCTGGAAAAGAAGACCGGAAGTAGAGAATATCTCCTTACAAAAACTTGTTTCCTTTTTCTGTAGACAGTATGGACTTCTCCAGCATGACACTAACTCAGATCAAGCGCCAAGAAATGGACTCTCAGGTAGGAGCGTAGTCTTATCCTATATAAAGTACTCCTGTTGTTTTCTAGCATGTTGCAGTCTAGTAAGATACAATAGGCAAATGCGCAGTGCTGCTGAGAATGTGTGGCTGGGGAGAGAAATAAAGAAAGTAACTGAAAATTCATTGTGTGTGCTGTTAGCAAGAGTCAGTGCTGGCAGTGAGCATGACTGGGGGAGGCAAGAATAGAAGTCCTGAAACAGTGCTGAGACCCAGGAAGTGCTGCTGGCCATCCTTGTGACTTGGACGAGGGAGTGAAATGTACTCTGTCCAAGTTTGCAGATGACACAAAGCTATGGGGAGAAGTGGACACGCCGGAGGGCAGGGAACAGTTGCAAGCAGACCTGGACAGGTTGGGCAAGTGGGCAGAAAACAACAGAATGCAGTTCAACAAGGAGAAATGCAAAGTGCTGCACCTAGGGAGGAAAAATGTCCAGCACACCTACAGCCTAGGGAATGACCTGCTGGGTGGCACGGAAGTGGAAAGGGATCTTGGAGTCCTAGTGGACTCCAAGATGAACATGAGTCGGCAATGTGACGAAGCCATCAGAAAAGCCAATGGCACTTTATCGTGCATCAGCAGATGCATGACAAATAGGTCCAAGGAGGTGATACTTCCCCTCTATCAGGCGCTGGTCAGACCGCAGTTGGAGTACTGCGTGCAATTCTGGGCACCGCACTTCAAGAGGGATGCGGATAACCTGGAGAGAGTCCAGAGAAGGGCCACTCGTATGGTTAAGGGCTTGCAGACCAAGCCCTATGAGGAGAGACTAGAGAACCTGGACCTTTTCAGCCTCCGCAAGAGAAGGTTGAGAGGTGACCTTGTGGCTGCCTATAAGTTCATCATGGGGGCACAGAAGGGAATTGGTGAGGTTTTATTCACCAAGGCACCCCCGGGGGTTACAAGAAATAACGCCCACAAGCTAGCAGAGAGCAGATTTAGTTTCCTGCCTATGCAGGGGGTCAGACTCGATGATCTATTGAGGTCCCTTCCGACCCTAACATCTGTGAATGAATCTATGAATCCTCTGATGACAAGACCCTTTCTTCTCCTCTAGGTCCGAGTCTTGGAGCTGGAAAATCAGTTGCAGAAAGAACGCCAGAAGCTGGGAGATCTGCGCAAGAAGCATTATGAGCTAGCAGGTGTGGCAGAGGGCTGGGATGAGGATGGTAAGTGCTCTGATGGCAAAGTTCTTTGAGTATATATGATATATTTTATTATACCAACTAAATAGTTGGAAAAAAGTTATTTGCAAGCTTTTGGGCATAAACACTCTTCATCAGGCATAGGGAGACTTTGCTGGTGTTATGTGTTCTCCAAGGTAAAAAATAAAGTAATTTACAACAAGCAGGTATGTGAAAATGCAAATGAGTGGAAGTTTGGAAGGCAAGGTGGATTTTGAGCAGGTCATGGGCAGATCTGGACTTAGCTTGAGGTAGGTGGTAGGCCAGGAATCAAGGGAGGTGGGAGAACTTGTTCTTTGTCTGTTTCCCCTATACACAGCAACATTGGCCTGGGTGTGAGATCCCAGGCAGCTGCCACTTGTGCTGTTTCATTGCCCTCTTGCAGCACCCAGCTTCTGCAAGCAGGGCAGTCAGATCAGGTGATTTCAAACTGAAGCCATCACTTCCCATGAACACTGAAAAGACTCAGGCAGTGGGGAAAGCCCAGGTCCCTATTACCTGTGAGACCTCTGCTTTGGTCCTTCCTTAGGTATCTCAACCCATCTCTGCAGATTGCAAAACAAACTCTCGGCCTTGGAATATTATAGGAATTGCATCTCCAGTCCCAGGCTCCACCAGCGGGGTGCTATAGGGAATAGGGACAGAGATCTAGCTGTGGGGCAACTTCCTGCTACTCAAGTCCTAGGTTCCAGTAGCGGGGCATATTGTGGGGAATGGTCTAGGACTGGTTCCCAACCTTTTTATACTGTGGACCAGCAAACTATTTAATTTACATATTTAAATTTGATTTTTACATGGGGGGAGTTGTAAAGATCTGATTGGGTTGGGGCACTACAGCCATAGGCACCAGGGGACCCTGCAGGGGAGGGGACCCAGCTGGAGCTGCCCACGAAAAAGGGGTTCTGCTGCCTTCCCTAGGAGCAAGCAGCAGATCTGCCTCCCCACCCTCTGCCCCAGGCATTTCCCCACCTGCATTCCCCTGCTCCCAGCCATGGACGGGACTGGGGTGTCCTGCCCGGCCTGGTGCAGGCCCTGGTACCTGCTGCACAGGCAGTGCCTCACCAGAAACAGCCATAGTGGCATGAACGGGACGGGGCACACGGAGCTGGCTGCCTCCCTCCCGGGACTACCCAGCCGCCCAGCTTTAACCCCACATGTGGCTGCTGGCAGCAGAAGCCACAACCCAGCAGCCAACCCTTCATGGCCTGGTACCGGGCTGTGCCCCGGTGGTTGAGAACCTCTGGTCTAGGAGCATGGTCTATGCAGGGGCTCCACAGACTACCCCAACAGGGTGCCATAAGGATCCAGGCAGGAGCACTGGCTATGGTAAAACTTCCATGTCATTCTGTCCCAGCACAAGGGACTGTAGAGAATTGGAAAGGGATACTGGCTGTGGTAACCATCCTGCCCCCATCAGGAGCAGTCACTGGTGCCCAGAAATGACTACTTGTAG